AGGTCAGAGCACGTACTGCTTTGAGCTTAATCCGTTTTATTGAAATAATTTTTAGCTCGTGTTTATCAAAAGCGCGTTCTAAAGCAGTTCAATTTAGCCATAAACGCCTGTATTCTGTATTTAATATAGCTCCTACTGCTTATACTAACCGTTACGTACTCATCATATGGAAACATTTATTCGAAAGCATCGCACTTTTAAAACCTCGGTTTAAATAAAAAATAAAACTCGTGTATGTAAAACTTGGCTATTTTACAAGAACGTGTACTGTCGTTCGGAAAGTGTTTGACAGTCACATGAGAAAGCAAATTATTTTACAACTAAAAAGCGTTAATAATTGCTTTTAAAAAGTGATCTTTGCTTCGTAAGTAGAAAGGCTTTCTAGAATATTCAGGTGCACATGCAATCGGATACTTCAAGTCACGTTGTATTTTTGCAAGTCCGTGCACAATGAACCGTTCAAAAAGATTTATATGTTTTTCTTTGATTATTGAACTGTCTTTTCTACACTAATTCAATTCATCCATGAGCTCGCTCCTAGGAGCCTTTGATTGCTTCTCCGAACAGATATTTTACAGAAAACAGTCGTTCGGTGCCCCTGCCTAAGCTCTATGACATTTTTTTTTAGGCACAACCTGTCTACCTTCACAGGAAGGGAGAAGGTTCTTTACTTTTAAGCGAATTCGAATTGATGTTGTTGTTGTTGTTGTTTAATTAAAATAGTACTATTTTAATTAAACAACAACAACAACAACAACAACATCACATTTTCTTTATGGATGTCCCGGAGCTTTTCTCTATTCCACCCCTTCCCCCCCCACCCAACAACTAGAAGATGTTCACGCGCCATTTGCTTTTTAAATTCTTCTTATTTGTTTTAATGACATTGATTGCATGGATTATTACCTTTTCCAAAAAAAAAAAAATTGAAAAAAAAATGTTACCCTCGACCCTCGACATGGTACCCTCGCCCTCGACATGGAACCCTCGACCCTCGACCCTCGACAAAAAGATAGACTCACTTTTTGTCTGTCGAGTGAGTAATGTCAGTTTTCAGTGGACAAAAACCTTGTACCAGTGATAATATTTTAAGCTATATCGCATTCTTTTTTACCCTTTTCAAGGGCTAAAAATATAATTAGTTATCTGTCATAACACCAACGACAATTTCTTATGGGAGCCGAGAAAATGAATTTAAAATTACACAGGAATTGAGAAAACTAACACCGGTAAAATCTTCATGTCGTTAAGATTTCATTTTGTGAAATTTGAAGCATTTGAAGTTTATTTTCTCGGGCTCCCATTAGAACCTTTTCTAGGTGTTATTTCATGTAACTTATTACATTTTTAGCCCTCGAAAAGAGTAAAAGGGGATGCAATATGCCTAAAATTATTCTGGTACAGGGTTTTTGTCCACTGAAAATTAAAGTTACTCAATTTCCAAATGGATTCCGTCTTACAGTTCGATACAGTGTATTTTTCTTAACGTCATAGACAAACAAACTGCTATTTTCGCGCTGTAACGGCGTCTAACGTGCTGTTTTTCACCTTGCACAGCGTGATATTCCTATATTTTCATGTCATAATAGCAACATCAATCTTAAAACAAAAAAAAAATGTACAAAGTTAAAGGCAAATTTTTCGAACGAAGTACGATTTACAATATGTCGCGTCTTAACAATAAGTAAAAATGTAAACTAAGATTTTATCGCCAAATTCATGTTTTTTCATTAGATTTCCTTGCAATTGATTTTTCAAGAACTCAATATTTTTCATGACCCCGTCTTGCCCTGAAGCTTGATGCTCTCTTAAAAAGTTTTATGACGTGAAAATGCATGGCGAATAAAACTTCAAAGATAGTAAGCACAAAAAAGATGATCTCTTTGCTTCTCTCCACTCCTGGCCCTCGCAAGCACGTTTACTAAACGCAGACTTGTATGAAGCAAGGTCCACAAAAATATCTTAAACTTCTTTTCAAAGGAGCAAAAAAAATATTACGTAACTTTGCAAGGCCATTCATATTTCAACTGCTTGTGCAGGAACAATGACGAAAAATGGACGGACTATAAGGAAAAGTAACCTTCAACCTTCTTAGAATCAAAAGTCACTCATTAGATTTTTAGAGTTTTTCCTTTTCTTTGGGATTTCTTCCAAGTTAAAAATGGAGGAAAAGCCTGTGAGAATTATATTGTGCGGGACATATGGGGTCGTATTAATTAATCTCACATTCAGTTTCTAATTAACTTTCTAACTTCAAGATCATGTCTCTCATTCACCGAGTCGTACACTTCTTTTTTGCATTATGTTTTCTTGTGATTAAACTACAGGCAACTCTGGGGAAATAAGTAATACTGAACATTTGTAACACCCATAACAGCATATTTTAAAGTATATAACATCATACTAAAATGCCTTCAATTTTGTAAATGTTGACATTAATTTTAGTCTCGTAAAAATCCATAAACCTTAGTAAATTGCTTGTCCTGATGATTTATTCAATGGTTTAAGCGAGGTATTATTAAAAGAGTTAATGAACAAGAGTTTAGAAATAAATGCCCAACTCAAAAAGTGCTGAGATCTACTAATTAATGATTTTAAAAGCATAAGCTAGAAAAGTGATAAAAGCGATGGTTTGATAAGACGCAGCACGCAATCTATCATGACTACTGCGTTAATAATGGAGTTAAATTCATGAGAAACACTTTAATGTCGTAAATCTTGGTATTTGCAGATACAATTACATATGGACATACTCGAGAAAAAAATGAACTTTATTTGATTGTCAATGCATTCAGCACAAAATTCCCAATTTCTCCATCCGAAGCGAGCCGTCATTTTACGTGGTCATCCGGACTACCGGGCGAAGGTCTAGCCATTTGCAGGGCAAAGGCAATACCTTAATTTCAAAGTCAATATTTTAAGACCCTGAGTATTGGCTCGGCGCCTGGGTTTGCCGGGTAAATCGTATGGTGACTGCATTTCAGGCTTCTTACAAGACAAAATGCCTTTCTTTGAGTGAACGTTTTTCACCCAGATGAGCGAAGGGAGGAAATGAAGGGATTGTTCACTTTCCTTGCGATTTAGGACCTTAGGAATGGAAATTTTGGTGATACGATACCCGAGGTGGAAAAAGACCCAAATAGGAAGTGTTCTCCTTCGTCAAACGCAACAACGTCTTGTAATTCTATATTTGGTTTGATTTTCTTTTCAAATCTCCTTGGGAATTACGAGACAATGCCATGAAAAATGAGCAGTTATGTTCC